ACTGTTTCTAATCAATTTATTTAATATATTCCAAGTACCTCTCATGTTATTTTTATTATCCTCTAATACTTTAGAGTAATATAGTTTCTTACATCTCCTCAAAATCTCAATTAATTTGTTCTTATACGACTTATATTTTTCTTCTTCCGCCTTCTTTGATCTGTCCTTTATGAATTCCTTATAAGTATTAGTAGACGTATACAAGTATTAGTAGTAGTATACATGTAACAATATGCAGTGCCTTGTAAAAGTATTCATACCCCTTGAATTTTTCCACATTACAACCACAAACGTAAATGTATTTTATTGGGATTTTATGTGACAGACCAACACAAAGTATCGCATAATTGTGAAGTGGAAGGAAAATGATAAGTGGTGTTCAAGATTTTTTACAAATAAAAATCTGAAAAGTGTGGTGTGCATTTTCTTTCCTTCAAGTTTCATTTTCTTTATGACAAGTGAAGAAGGTGTGTTATAGGAATATTTCATACTTCCTCTACTACAAATAACATTTCAGTTATTTTCTAAAGTCGACTTTTTCATCATTCTAATGCAGCAAACTCACTTATTCCTTCATGCTTCAAGACACTGTACAAACACTTCTGGAAAAGCTTTTAGAGAAGTTGATTAAAGTGTCATCTGTTCTGACTGCACAACAATTTTTAGCACAAGTTGCTTTGTGAGATTTAAGCGTTTTAATATTAAACGGCCCAAAACTTGTTGTAGTTGAGTCACATTAAATACATTTTTCTGTACGTCTTAGATTATTTAATGCATGACTTTTATTAGTAATTGAGTATATTTCCATTGTTGTGTTACTAGTTCCACTTAAGCAATGTTTCTTCCATCACTTCACTACCTACAGTACAAACTAGATGTCTCCCTCTCTACCCAGCGTCTCCATTGCTGAAGTCCTTACAGTGCCATAATGACTACTACTCCTTTATCCACTGCAGCTGGAGGGAACTCACAAACACACGACTGCAGCTTTGGCTGCAGACAGAAAACAGGTAAAAACAGCCGAGACAACAAAAGAGCAGCAGGGGTTAAGAAAGTGAAATGTTTAGCAAAATCAAGTTGTGTCCTACGGTCCTGTGTCCATGTCTTTGCAGATCGTTATGCAAGCCGTACAGTCCACCAGGCCCAGGTGAGCCCGGCATTGCCCACTGTAGATTTGAAGCTAGTGTTTTTGCAGTTGGCTCCCAACACACCGTCTTCTTCCTCAAGGAGGAGCCAGTGACCATCTGCTCGTCTGCTCCGCACAAGCCCCTGCATCTTTCTCAGCTCTGTGAGTTTACAGGACACCTGTCTAACACAAGTATGACCGTTGACAGAAATAAATCATGCTCCTGAATACAAATTAAACATTTCATAAAGAAATCATATTAGTTCTAATATGTAGCTGCTGTTTAAACACACATTTCATCACTGCAGCTGTTAAAGTCGCTGTGTGTGTTTGTGTTCCTCAGTGAGAGCACGCACACCGGTGGCCCTGTCCTCACGTGACGCAGGTGACGGAGGCCGGCTGCTCAGCTGGTCCAGTCCCTACCCGTCCTCCTCCGCCTTGAACAAAAACCTCACGTACCAGCTCAGCTACAAGACAGACAGACATGACAAATGGACCGTAAGCATCGAAACACTGAGACCACATGACACACTGAGTCAGTTGTGAAATCATACAGTGACTTTTTGAAATCCCCAAAGTCTCTGAAACCTTTCACTTCTGCTGAAAACATCAAAAAACTGAATTTCAACATGACCAGTTACATTTTGACAGGCACTTATGTAATTGCAGTTTCCAGGAACAGTTTTGCTACATTATATTTAGTAATGAAAATGAAAGCAGCTACTGGTGTACAGGTCATGTGATGTATCCCTCTAACGGGAGAACTGGTGCCAGCTCTGAACCCATGAGATTCATTCTCACTCAAAACTGGATATCTGTTCCTAGCCTCAGCCCTGCCAATACTAAAATGAGGCATGAATATATGCTAAACAGGCTGTACATATGCTGCAGAATGGACGGAACGCAAACATAATTTTATTCAATACCTACTTTTGGTGTTTTACTGTGCAAATAGCAAACAGTTGTTTCATTTGTACCAAGTGAATCATTCTCCGTTACTTTAGCATCTTAACATGCTAACATTTGCCAAATGTTTTACTAAGAACAGAAACATTTATTTAGCCATTAATTCTCTATATAACTTTACTGTTCCAAACATTTCTTTGAACTTGAACAGAAAGCTCTGTGGTACCCACATCTATTCTCTCAACAGACTGAGGACATCATGAACACCAGTGTGAAACTGGAGAAGCAGCTATTGCTTCCGGGTCACAGGTATGAAGCCAAGGTGCGGGCCCGAGTCAGCGTGGGCCAGTGGAGCGAGTGGAGTCCTATGGTGACCTGGCAGACTGAACAAGGTGTGTACGAGTCAGAGCCAACTCTGATCTTTCTGAAGAACCACTTAGCTTGTATGTTTAATGCATTAGATCATTTTGCTTGGGGTCTCTCTGACACAGACTGCTCCTCATCTCTGCCCATCACATTTCTAATCTTCCCTCTCTGTCCTTTTTTACAAGAGCTTTGCAGCTGTTGTTCTTAGCTCTCTTTCTCTCTGTCTCTCTCTGGCTCTAGACACTGGGCAATTTCCCAATTTGCACTGTGTGTTGGATGGAGAGACGGTGGTGATATGTAGCTGGGAGGTGAGCAGAGAGCTGGATCACTTCATTGCCTACCAGCTGGCATGTCGCAGCCAGCCTGCAGCGTAAGTCAAGTGTGAGGCTGACAGCACCACCTGGTAGAGGGTGAACACTGCATCCTTGTCTTTCATTCATGTATGTGACCATTTCTCTTCTCCTCCTCCTCATCATCATCATCCCTGCAGTAAGCCTGAGATATGCTGCAAGAAACCAAACGTCAATTCTGACCCCGGTGGGCCCATGGTGAAGTACAACTGTTCGCTGCCTGTTGCAGACCCTGCACAGCTGCTGGAGCTCATACCAACACACAGTGCCAAGAGTTTTGAGGCCTACCACCGCAGTGAGTGGACACGAGACCTATAGTCACTCTGAGAGTAGGCCAGAGAGAAAACATGTCCTGCCAAATTAAAAATAAACAGATGAGCGATAACACTGCAGGAGGCTGTGCAGACAAACAGTTCTGAGTGGAACTGTGTTGTGACAGAGCGTCCCCACCTAGTGTTTGAGTGGCACTACTGCACCGCCTGTTCACCTATTACTGTATAATCAGATCACATTGGGTTTATTCTGTCATAAAGCAACTAAATTCACCAAGAGACAGACTTAATCAAAGATCAATTATAGACACACAAAATACTAAATTAAACACCATAAAAACACTAAATACATTCAGCCATCTCTCTACTTTCCAAAAGAGCCAATAAATCCAAAAACAGCCATATCTATGAATTGTGACCGAACTTTGTGCCTAATCTTATACTTGTGTCTAATATATAGCCTCAGTACTCTGGTGCCTCGCTGCGTAGGTATTTACATGACTGCCAAACTTACTGGCAGTGTTTACTCATTTCAAATATATAATAAATACAAGTGGGTTGTTTAAAAAAAATGAGGGGGGTGGAGGCAGTACTGAGACCCCTTAAGTAAAAGTAAAAGCACCACAGGGTAAAAGTTTTGTATTCATAATGTTTCAATAACATCTTATGATTATACTTTTTTTTTATTCATCTGGTTATAAAAAGTAACTAAAGTTATAAAATAAATGTAGTGGATTAAAAAGTACAGTATTTTCCTGAAGTAGCACAAAATGAAAACACTCAAGTACAGATTCATCAAAGTTATACTGAATTAAATGTACTTATTTACTTTCCACCACTGTACTGAACAAACTCTCTGTTGTTCTGCAGTCCGTCCTACACCACCACTGCAGGTAAAGGTGACGGAGAAAGGCAGCAACTGGGTTGTGAAATGGATTGCACCCCCCATAGCTTCAGAAGTGGAGCTGAGTTATCAGGTCAGCTATTACATGACTCAGGATCCGGTAAGATACTTTTATTACTTTAGTATATTATTGTATTTTTACCCTGTTTGTTTGCCTTTACTCAGTCCCTTCACACCAACCATAAGACTAATTTAGTCATTTAAAAGTCTTACTAATCAACAATGACAGTAACTGATCATACCGTATGCATACAGGAATGATTTGCAGTTCTTACTGTAGCTCTTAACCACAGTCTTCTTACATGAATTAATCGTTTGAATGATTTCATCATTCACATATTTTATTAAAAAGGTTAATTTAGCTAATTAAATATGATTGTGTTTATAAAATAACACGCACAATCAGGAAGTATTTAATGGATTCTATACACTTGGTTTCATCAGGGATCTTCTAAACTGCTAAACATTTCACTGGGGTCCACATCCCTGACCATCCTGGGAATGTCTCTGGCCCCATCCCAGCATTACCAGGTCAAAGTCAGAGCGCTGGTCAGTGAACGTTCGCTCTACAAGGGAATCCCCTCTGAATGGACCAATCCTGTGGACTGGACCTCACATGCAGGTATGGTCCAGTGCAACAGCAACATGCGTGCAAATAGCATCCTCACATGTGCTCAGTGCTCAGAGCTAAAAACATGGGCCACAAAAATCATCCTAACACATGATGCATTAACATCATTTATTGTTTTCTACCCTCAACAGCCACCTGGTCCTTCACCACCCTGATATATGTCTTCACTGGTTTGTTTGTGGGCTCAGTTTTCCTCATACTCTACTGTACCATTCCAGCTTGTAAAAGGTACTTTATTCATACTGTACTTGTGTTACTTTCCTTTCTTTTCAAACTTGAGATTGCCTGCACGCTTCCTGGGCAAACTGTTCAATCTCTGTTGAAGGTGCATTAACTAGCTTCTTGTCAGCTGCTACAGGGTCTAGTGTAACTGAAAAGAAACTGATGTCTATGTCTTGTTTCTTAGCAACAACCTAAACTACAGGTGCCAGGTTGGGACAAACTCTAGAAAAATAAAGGGACTAATAAAGGTTTTCTAATCTAATCTAATCTAAAAAAAAAAAACAAGCAACCAGTGTGAAGCTATCGTTATCTGACTACTGAGTCCTGGCTCTACTGTAGCATTACAGGGACACAACGTCAAGTGACAAGGTTGATGACTGTCCCAAACAGGGCTTAAAAAAAACCCTAACATTACACAGAGCTCAAATTAGTCCCAAAATAAAATCACATTAATTCAATACAAAGGTAAAATCCTGACCATGCTAGGTGGCTAATGCTACCAAAACAAACAAGTTAGCTTTAGATGCTAACACATCCAGAAGGAAGAAGGCCACATCTGGATCCAGTCTGAGTCCTCTGGCTGCTTTTAACCCTCTCCATGTCAAACAGCCAAACCCATGTTAACCCTGGTTGTTGCTCTTTCTTTGTCCCACTCTCTCTGTGCTAAAGACGCCACCTCTTCACTCTGGCAGCTGCTGGTTCAGACTTTTAGCTGCCCACAGCTCCTCCATGGCTGTTTGACATGACTACTGGCTGGAAAAACCCTTCTTCTAACCTTGGCTAGGCGGCAGGCGGGGCTGATTTACAGACCGTACTTTGACAACACAGGGTGGAGAAGCTGGAATAACAACAGGAGGCTGTAGGCAGCAGAGGGTCATGGAGGGGGGGTGTAGCTGAGAGACACCACATCCTGTCCCACTGTCACTGGGTATATCAGACAATGCGTTAATCCTAGTTAATGTTACTTTACAGTAAGTGTCACTACAGCTATCAGATAAAGAAGTACGCATATATCGCAAACAGTCTATAGAAAATGTAGCCAAGAGAAGCCAGTGGGTCTAAAGTTTAAGTATAAGTAACTCACAGTGCTTTGCACCTATGCATGTTTGCACCTATGAATGTTTGCACTGTATGTGACAAACAGGAGGGTGTACCTGTGGGTGGACTCAATTCCTTCTCCAAGCAAAAGCAAAATCCTGTCTGAGTTCAAGGTGAGACCCGATATTTTAGTACATTTTTCTGTATAATTAGTGTTTTTCTGATTATATTTTGTGACTCTGTCTACTTTTTAATCCAGTTTACCATCAGTCAGACTCTAATACAGAGTGAGGACACTTCCAGCTGCAAGGTGCTCCGCTTCGACTCCATATCTACATGGTAATATGTTTTACACTTCACATTCCCTGACAGACAGCCATCACAAATTCTAGATGAGAACACTTCTGCAGCACAAGAAGCGCACCTTTAGGACCTCTAACAGAGAATGTGTTATACAGCACCAATAATTCAGCTACTCAGGCACTGACGATCCTCTGATACCCAGCATGATTCTCGTTCTCTCCCTGCAGCACCTCAGACTCCTCCCTATGGTCAACCAAGGACACTGACCAAAAGTGTTTGGAGCAGGAAAAGGGCAACTGGATCTGTGACAACCTGCCCACCTTTTCAGAGAAGGTTAAGACCTTGGACAGAACTTCTGTCAACTTCAGCGGGCCATACATCTTCTGTCAGGTCAGCAACAGCTAGACCAAGGACCAGGGGCCCGTTTCAAGAAGGAGGTTTAACAAACTCAGAGTTCAAACCTGAACTCTGAGTTGACTTACCCAGAGTTGGAAAACTCGAAGTTTTCGGTTTCAGAACAGCTGAAAAGAGTTGGTTTAATCAACTCTGAGTTGTTTGACTCAGAGTTAGGCGCGTGCCACGCGACTATAAAAAGCCCTGAACAATGGAGTGAAGAAATTACGAGTCACCATGGCAACAGGACCAAGCCAAAATAGGTCTGCGTTTTTCCCCGACAGAAATGGATGTGCTACTACAAGCATATAGTGACTACGAGCCCATATTTCGTAAAAAAAAAACAACAACACGGCTGCAGCGGCGAAAGAGAAAGAGTTAGCTTGGGGGAAAATAGCTGCCCGAGTCAATGCGTACTGTAACCCTTCCTGCTTTCGGCCTCCAGGACCGTAGTCGAGTGGCGCAGGGGAGGCTGATGTCTGCTCCAGGGCCGAGGCTGCAGTCCGCCTCGGGGTTATCTCCCTTCACCGTGATCTGTAGCAGCGAGCAAGAACACTCGGGCAACTTCCTTGGAAACCGAACTTTTATTGTCACTTTCCTTCACATGAACAATGTCGCCCACACCGGTTGAATTTCACTGTCCCCCTCTTTCACACTCCGTTCACACTCTCTCCAACCCGCTCATACTGACCTCTTGTCTACTACGCCCATACGTCACACGCTCTCCCTCGACAACACCTCCAGCCACACACACACACACACCACACGTACAGACTGCTCACCGGTTATTCACACATGTTCTACGCCATTCACGTAACACTACCCCCACTCTGGATGGCAAT